AACGTCAAGTCTTGATGGCGTGGGCTACGTTGCCTGCTTCGAATACGACGTAATGCAAAAGAGCTAACTCATGAGAGGGGAGCCCAGATGGGTGCAACCTCGCAAGGTGCTCGCTCGCCACGATGCTGCATGCAACTTCTGATCGCCCTCACCGCCACGTCGTCATCACCGACGCCGAGGGCCTAAGTCATCACATCCACGACTACTCCAAATCTCATAATAAAGGGGAGGGGGTCAAAAAAGTGTAGACCCCCCCCAGACAGGCAACAAAGGGTCCAAAATCGAGACCCCCCAAAAATTGTGTTTGACGAAGCCCGTTAGACCCCCCCAAAAAGCAGACCCCCCCCCATGGTTATGAGGTCCGGAGTAGACTCGCTCCCACGAGGGGCAACGACAAGGGGGGGGGGGCTTGCTCAGGGGTGGAGTCCCCAGCGTGGCACCAGACCACGGGCCTCCCGAGCGGGGCTGGCTGTCGGCCCCCTCTTCGGCGATGAATAGGCCACTGGGGGCACCGACCCTGAGCCGATCCTCCCCCCCGACGGTGCCCCCGAGATCGTCCCTGGCTCCTCCTCCTCCTCCTCCTCCTCCCCCTCCTCCTCCTCCTCCCCCTCCTGCTCTTCCTCCTCCTCCTCCCCCTCCTCCTCCTCCTCCTCCTCCTCCTCCTCCTCCTCGTCCTCCTCCTCCTCCTCCTCCTCCTCCTCCTCCCAGAGCAGTAGGCAACCTCGTGTGAACCCCTCCCCTGCAGGTCAGATTCCTGAAAAAACCGGCTGGGGTGTCAGACTTTGAAAGATGCCTGCGGCAACAACGCGCACCCCCAGCGGGCATGCCCGATACCCCAGCGTCGACTGGACAAAGATGCCTGCGGCAACAACGCGCACCCCCAGCGGGCATGCCCGATACCCCAGCGTCGACTGGACTCGTATGGATAGGCTTCGCCAGCGAAGGTTACATTTTCCCTCACACCCTGGATTATCCGGTGGGGGGAGGTGACGTCCGATAGCCTAGCAATCTTCGCTCCGGGCAGCCCCGCGCACGCCCGCGCGCACCAGTACTGCGCACCCCCTTCGGACCTGCACGACCGACCAGGGCAAGTCATCCGAGGGGAGGGGGGGGGGGGGGGCGGACGGGCCCGACGACCCCGGTGATCGACGAAGCCCTAGATCAAACAGTCTCCGAGCACACGCAGAAGCAGGCCGCGGCGCGCACACAGCGGGTCACGCCTGCACTTGCCCGTAGCTCACGTAGCTGATTTTCCAGGCTGATTCTCCTTTCGCCCTGCCCGAAAACAACAAGGGCGCGCCTGCACTTGCCCCAGCACGGGTCGCGGCCCGCGTTGCCCGCCTCCGCGCAGTCCGTCTTCGCCAGGTACGGCACGACAAAGAGGTCCGCCTGCGCGCGCGGGCAGGCTGGCTCCGGCGTGCCCGCGCTCCGCTATGCGGCCTGGAGCGTCGGCATTTTTGGGGGCGACGCCGCGGGAGAAGCCATGCTCGGGCTGCTCGTAGTGCACGGCACGTTCTTGCAGTCGCCGTGCTCCGTCTCCAAGGTAGAGGCGCCAGCTTTGGACGGGGCACCCCGTGAAGCGTCAGCTCTACAAAGCGCTGCGACACGACGCACGGAGTGCTGGAACCTGGGCCCCCTGAGCTGCATCAGACAAAGAAGCACGGAGCGTGCCCAGCCCTTGCATCACCGTGGAGCAAACGGAGCAGAGAGAAGAGATCGGGTCGGCCCGGATCGGCTGCGCGGATGAGCGTGCGCACGCGGGAACCCAAGCCTTCGACGCCAGCGCTGTTCGCAGGGCGTGGGGCCCCTTCTGGAGCCCCAGACCAGGACGAACCGGCGCGCTCCGAAAAAAACGCCGACCGCCGCTTTCAAGTGCGATTGGAATCTCGGAGGAAAGACAGCGAGGAACATGACCAAGACTGACCGCGGAAACGTCGTTGCCGATCTTGTTCATGGTCTATCTTGGTCATCGTCGATTCGTGGACCATCCTGGCGAATCAGCGACCGCAGGCAAGGACCATGACCAAGATCGGCGTAGGCAAGATCCAGCGACATGTTGGTCATGGTCAGTGTGCTTCTTCCCTCGAATGTGATTGAAGTCGGCCGAAATTTCGGACAGCGCCCAACTGGACATCAGACATCGGGAGCAGAAGTGGCGGAGAACAATCGGGCGGCGCAAATGGCGGGCGAGCTGTCACGGGTGGTTGGGGGGGAGCTGTGGCGCCATCGGAATCGCTGCACTTTTTGCAATTGGATTTCAGAAACACCTGTTAGTCACGCCGATGGCGCTGGCGATGCTGCCGCTGTCAGACGTCCTCGGGATGCCGTCGGAATTCGTGCACGTGCTTCAAGTGTTCCGCATTTCGCCGGACCTCGCTTGGACTCCCACCGCGCGGAAACTGTGACGAAAACCGCTCAGTGCACCAGAGCTCGCTGGGGGCTTCGGCGCAGCACCCCCGAAAACCTCGCCGGAGCACGTCGGAACAGGCTCGGCACGCGCCCGCGCGACTCAAATCACACACAGGTAGTTTTATGTCGGGCGTGTCCCCCTACCGGGGGATTGTCGACGAAAAAAAACAAATACCCCGAAAATTCACCCCAAAGGTCAAAAAATACTCAAAAAAGAGCCCCCAGACTATTTTTGGGCCTATTTTGAGACTATGTTTGGAGGTATTTTTTATTTTTGCACGCGGCGCGGGGGCAAAGGAAGGCGCGCGGAAGCCCAGGCAGGGGGCGGCGCGACTGCGCCCCGAGCTCGCGACTCCCCGGCCGGCTCGAGCCTCGGCCGCGCGGCGGGGTGCTTCGAGGCCCAGTCTTGACCTGCGTGTGGGGTGCGGAATTTTGGGGTGACCCAACAGGGGGGTCCAGCTGCAGGGGGTGGTGCAATAGAGTTGGGGCAATTGAATTGCAGATGTATTTATCGCGCCGGAGAATTGCACTGCATTGTGTTGCAACTGATGTATGGCACGCGCAAATCCAGCAATCAATCTGCGTCCCAGAATGTACTGCACGCCCCAGATGTATTGCAACCCAACAAATCTATTGCAGCAAATCTATTGCACCACCCCCTTGTCGCTGGACCCCCTTTTGGGTCAGCCCGAGAATTGGTAGGGCCCGGCGGCATGTGAATCCCGCCACTGGGGCCTTCGGTGGAGCTACCTAGGGGACCACGAAACGTGTGAGGGGTGCGCCGAGATGGCCGGGGCCGGCGGCATGTGAATCCCGCCACTGGGGCCTTCGATGGAGCTCCCTAGGGGGCCAAAAAACGTATGAAGGGTGTACCGAGATGGTCGGGGCTGGCGGCACCTGCCACTGGGACCTTCGATGGGGCTGCATAGGGGGCCACGAAACGTATGAAGGGTGTACTGAACTGGTCCGAGAGGCGGAATGTGAACTCTGCCACTGAGGCCTTCGGTGGAGCTCCATCGGAGGCCACGAAACGTGTTAGGGATGTACTGAATTCTCGGGGCGGCGGCATGTGAACTCTGCCACTGGGGCCTTCGGTGGAGATCTCTAGAGGCCAGGAAATGTGCGAGGGTTGTGCCGAAATAAGGATGGTGCTGACGACAAGGGCGAGGAGAAAGAGGAGCAGGAGAAGCAAGGAAGAGGAGGAGGGGGAGGAGGAGGAGGAGGAGGAGGAGGAGGAGGAGGAGGAGGAGAATGAGGAGACGCGCGGCGCTGTGAATTCAAAACGAGGACCCAACACCCAGGAGGGTTGGGAAAAAGGGAGCGAAGAGCGGTCCCAAAGGTCACACACACACACATGACAGTGTAGCTCTGTGGTTGATAACGTTGGGCATCAACTACCCGGGCGGGGGGAGGGCCCCTCCGAAAAAATGCAACCAACGAATGTTTAATTCCGTAACCTGTTTGGGCCCAATGCCTGGAATGTACCCGGGGGGTCGCCGATCCTCGATAGGGGTGCGCCAAAATGGGCCCAATATGGTATATCCCAGGCCCTGGGGGGTATCCCAGGCTTTACCCCCTTTCTAAAGGGCTCGAGGCCGGGGAGGCCCTCCCCTGTGGCTGGCCCCCAGCGGGAGGGGCGCGGGGTGGGCTGAGTAGTTAGGCCCAGAAAGGTATCGACAACGACGAGGAGGAAGGATGATGGAGAGAGGGGCCAGAATAAGTGTGGAGCGGGAGGATCAGCAGGACAAGCAGCAGGAGGAGACGAGGCGGCATAGCGGGAGGGCAGCAGGGTGGGGAGGGAGAAGGAGGAGCGCTGACGGGGGAGGAGGGGAGGAGAATGATGAACAGCAGGAACGCAAAGATGACGATGAGGAAGATGGGGAGGACGAGAAGGAGCACGAGGAACAGGATTCGAGGAGCACGAGCAGAGGACGACAAGTAAGGAAGATCGACGTCCGAGGACAGCTGGCTCGCGGCGCTTTTACACTCGCCAAGGGGGGAGGGCCAGGAGGAGAACAAAAAGGCGAGCGACGACGAGGGTGGGTCATTTTGTTGCCGAGGCCGGGGGGGTCGGGGCCGCCATACAGGAGTCTGTTCGCACGAGCAGCGGGAGGCACGCCCCAAGCAGGCGTGCCCGCAGCGGCGGCCTCACTCAAGTAGTCCACCGCAGAGGCCGCGCTCGAGCACTGGGCAGACAGACTGGAACCGTGCCGTCCGAATCCAGACTAAATTCAGGTCGGGCATGTCCCGCTACAGGCGGATGTTGGACAGCAAATAAAAGATAATCCAAGAATGCTCCAACATGCTCAAAAATACTCAAAAATTGTCCCCTGACGATGTTTGACTATTTTTGAATATCCCCCCTGTAGAGGGACAGGCCCGATGTAACACTAAATGAGAATTCTCACCAAAGCCTCCGAGCACGCGGCAGAAGTTGGTGGGAAGCAATCTAAATGCGTGCGTGCCCGCACAGCAAAGGTGTGCACGCATATGGGGCGGCGGGCACTGCACGGTAGCGTCGCGAGAAAATGGGTGGGCGGCGCTCCACATCGAGGCATCTATCACTAGCTCAGGTAGGGGTGACTGACTGTTCAGTCCCAAGACGCCTCTGCGAACCTGGGAATCAGAAAATACCCCAACACGACTGGCGCAAAAGTCTGGTATCCGTGTACGCGAACCGACGCCTGCACCGAGTGAATTATTACTCGGACTCTGAAGAATTGCCGCGGGCCGTCGCCAATTTTGGGTCGGACAGAAAAGGAGGATGGTAAAGTGAGGTTTGCGAATCAGCTTACGTTAATGATGTCCCCAGCGCCTCCCAAAGGCCAGAGGCGCAAGTATTCCGAGGAAGGCGCCCAGCGGCGGTGCCAAAAACAGCTGCACGCATGAGATGTCGCACCCACCCCTTCCCCATCCCTCCTTTCTGCGCCGCCAGAATTTGTCCATCTCCACTGCCGCTGGGTTGTGCTCGCAGGACTCGAGGAGCGATGGATACGGATACATACCCGCCCACGCGGGCGGGTAGATATCCATATCCACCACTCTGCGAAATGCTTGAGGCGTTCCCGAGAAGATGGGGTCGGAGAATTGTACCGCATCGCCGATACATCGCCGATACATCGGAGACGCCAGCGCGGAGAAAGTCGGGCACCATGATCCGCCGGCCCCCTCCTGCCTTAACCAGCTCCTGCTGCTCCCTGCACCAGTTGCAATGTCAAGTCTCCAATGTTACAATCCTGGTTTCTGCTTCCTACTGTACATTGTTTGTATCCGCGCGAGGGGGGGAGCCCCGAACCGCCCAATGTACCACGCCCCGATCGCGCTCTCTGAATTCATAGGGGGGGGGCGTGGGACATGTAAAAATGTGCGAGATTCGCACCCCCGAGCCCATCATCTTTGATGAATGACAATGCTCGCGTTCCCGAGGCCACATACCCTCGTAAAGTATATGAGTATTGCGTCCCCGAGGCAACAAACCCTCGTAAATTATAGAATGCTCGCGTCCCCGAGGCAACGAGCACTTACAAATGCCGCAATAGTCGCGTCCCCGAAGCCATAAACCTTCGCAAATGATGCAGAACTCGCCTTGCCGAGGCCAAGAGGGCCCCAATTGCGCCCAGAGATGGTTCCAGGACGGCCCAAGAGGGCCCAGAGAGGCCCCAAGAGCGCTCCAGGAGGCCTCCCAGGAGAGCCCCAAGAGGCCCAAAATCGTAGATGCTACGAAAGCGTTTGAGAGATGTTGGCTGGCCTTCTCGCATGTTCGGTGTTCCGACGCTCCAAGATGGCACCAGAAGCTCCCGAGACCGCCCCAAGACAGCCCAAGACGCCTGCAAGAGGACCCCAAGACGGCCCAAGAGGGCTCCGAGATGGCCCAAGAAACGCTCACGACGGCCCAACGACGACCCAAGAGGGCCCCAAGACGGCCCCAGGAGGGGCCCAAGCAAGGGACCACGAACCGAACATTCGATGTTTGTGCCCAGAGAAGCCCACAGGACCAGTTCTATCCAGTTGTACCAGTTCCGCAACGAAGCAAACCCGCATCAACAAAACAACGAAACTCTTCTTACCCAGACGTGGTAGTCAACACTGTCAAGGTAGTCGGCCCTGTCAACCCTGAGCGAGCCACCTCAGCGGACAGTTCCGCTGCGTGCTTCTACGCTTCCCTGGTCAAGGCAATTCGCCTGGCGATCGTTTCTGGATGGCGATGATGGTGGCGATGATGGCGGCGATGATGCGCGCTCAACCATACTGCAATGCGAACCGCGGACATGCAACGCAAAGCAAGGTTTAGCAAACCACAGAAACAAACAACGGCGCGCCCTGGCAGCCCCGCGGCTTCCCTTCGCGTGGAGAAGTGCGTGGAGCTGGTACAACTGGTACAACTGGTACAATATGGTCAAAGAACTGGTCATAGAACTGGTCCGTTTAAAATAGGGTCCGACATAGAACTGGTCGTCTCAAACTTACACATCTAAATATATAAGTCAATTATGTTTAGGATGTCGACCAGTTATATTCCGGGTCCTACTTTTAATGGACCAGCTCTATGAGAAGTTCTATGGCCAGGTCCATCCAATTGTACCAGTTCCGCAAAGAAGCAAACCCGCATCAACAAAACAACGAAACTCTTCTTACCCAAGGTAGTCGGCCCTGTCAACCCTGAGCGAGCCACCTCAGCGGACAGTTCCGCTGCGTGCTTCTACGCTTCCCTGGTCAAGGCAATTCGCCTGGCGATCGTTTCTGGATGGCGATGATGGTGGCGATGATGGCGGCGATGATGCGCGCTCAACACACTGCAATGCGAACCGCGGACATGCAACGCAAAGCAAGGTTTAGCGAACAACAGAAACAAACAACGGCGCGCCCTGGCAGCCCCGCGGCTTCCCTTTGCGTGGAGAAGTGCGTGGAGCTGGTACAACTGGTACAAGAGGCCGCCAAGAGGCCCCAAGAGGCCCCAAGAAGCGCCCAAGACGCGTCCAAAAGGCCTCCAAGAGACCCAAAAGATACCCCACGAGGCCCCCAAGAGGCCCCCAAGAGGCGCCCAAATCGCCTCCAAGAGGCCCCCGAGAAGCTCCCCACGACACCCCAACACATACATAAGAGGCCTCAGACCCACAACCCAGGCACGGTGGCGTGATGGGCCGAAGGCCACTAGGATCCGCCGCCCCCTTTTGATTTATCGAAGGGGTGCCTGGCGTGCCAAACTGTATGGCTCTTGGTGTTGGTTCTTTTTCCAAAAGAACTTCCCCTGGGGCTTCGGCTCGTCCCGCCGGCCACCCGGAAAGGATCTCAAAACACATCCGTCATGCCTCTGTTTCCTCCAGTTGGCCCAAGATGGCGTCCAAGACGGCCAAGATGGCCCACGATGGTCTCCAAGATGTTTTCCAGACGCCCCAAAATGGCCTCCAAGACGGCTAAGACGGCCCCAAGATGCCTCCAAGACGGCCCAAAATGTACCCAAGACGGTCTACGACGGCAACAAGCCCGCAAGAGGCCTCCAAAACGGCCCAAGAGCCCTCCAAGACGCCCTCCAGGAAGGCCGGAAAGGGCCAAAATCATTGATATTCCTTAGGTTTTTGAAGGATTTTAGCAATTACGCCTTGGAGGACTTCCGACGGCCCAAGACGGCCCAAGAGGCCCCCAAGATCGCCCAAGAGGCCCCCAAAAGGGCCCCATGACGGCCCAAGTGGCCTCCAAGACGGCCCCAAGAGGGCCCCAAGACGGCCCAAGAGGCCTCCAACACGCCCAAGATGGCCTCCAAGGCCCCCAAGATGGGCCTCCAAGACAGCCCTGGAGCATTCCAAGAGGGCCCCAAGTCGGCCCACCCCCCAAACAGCTTCCGACGGCGTCAGACGGACCAGGAGCCCACCAAGATGGCCGAAGTTGGCTCGAAGCTGGCCCAAGACGGCCCAAGAGGCCTCCAAGAGGGCCTCCAGGAAGGCCCGAAAAGGCCAAAAAACAATTGAATTCCCATGGGTTCTTGAAGGATTGTGGCATTTACTTTTTTTCTGCCTTCCGACGGCCCGAGACGGCCCAAGTGCCCCCAAAGATCGCCCAAGAGGCCCAAGACACGGCCCCAAGAGGCCCCCAAGACAGCCCAAGAGGTCTCCAAGACGCTCAAGATGGCCTCCAAGACGGCCCAAGAGCCCTCCAAGACGTCCTCCAAGAAGGCCCGAAAGGGTCAAAATGGCCTCCACATGGCCAAGATGACCTTCAAGATGCCCACTTATTCCTCAAAGACTTTCCAAACCGATTCGAAAAACACATGGTCCGATAGCTTTGCAGGTCTGGCCTCAACGTTCGGTCACATAGGCGCTTCCAAAAAGGCAGGGGGCGGCGGTGATTCGCCGTAGGCGTCTTCGATCCGCCGCCTCCTTGTGATTTATCACAGGGGTGCCTGGCGTGCTGGATCCTATCGGTTTTGGTTTTGGTTCTTTTCCAAAAGAACTCCCCCTGGGGCTCCGGCGCGTCCCGCTGGCCACCCGGAAAAGGTCTCAAGGAGCTCAATTCCCCAAAAAATCCTCCGAGACGGCACAAGATGCCCGCTAAGATGGTCACGTCGGCCCAGAATGGCCTCCAAGATGGTCCAAGACGGCCTCCAAGTCCGCCAAACATGGTCCAAGATGGCCTCCAAGACGGCCCAAGAGAGTCCAAGATGCCTCCAAGGTCGCCCGAGAAGCTTCCAAGACGGCCCAACACGACCCAAGAGGCCTCCAAGAGGCCATCCAGAGGCCAAAATCATTGCCCGTGACGGCCCACGAGGCCGCCAAGATCGCCCAAAGATCGCCCACGAGGCCTCCAAGAGGGCCCCATGACGGCCCAAGAGGCCTCCAAGACGGCCCCAAGAGGGCCCCAAGACGGCCCAAGAGGCCTCCAACACGCCCAAGATGGCCTCCAAGACGGCCCCGAAGCGCCCCAAGAGGACCCCAAGTCGGTTCAGAGAGGCCCCCAAGACGGCTCCCGACGGCGTCAGACGGGCCAGGAGCCCACCAAGATGGCCGAAGTTGGCTCGAAGCTGGCCCAAGAAGGCCCAAGAGGCCTCCAAGAGGGCCTCCAGGAAGGCCAGACAAGGCCAAAATCCTAGACTTCCCTTCGGTTTTTGAAGGATGTTGACATTTGCTTTTTTCGGCCTTCCGACGGCCCGAGACGGCCCAAGTGCCCCCAAAGATCGCCCAAAGATCGCCCAAGAGGCCTCCAAGATGGCCCCAGAACGGCCCAAGAGGCCCCCAAGACAGCCCCAAGAGGCCCCCAAGACGGCCCAGGAGACTTTTAAGACGCCCAAGGTGGCCTCCAAGACGGCCCTGGAGCATTCCAAGAGGGCCGCCCATAGAGGCCCCCCAAACGGCTTCCGACGACGTCGGACGGGCCAGGAGCCCACCAAGACGGCCCAAGATGGCTCTAAGATGGCCCCAGATGGCCCAAGAGGCCTCCAAGAGGGCCTCCAGGAAGGCCAGACAAGGCCAAAATCCTAGACTTCCCTTCGGTTTTTGAAGGATTGTGACATTTGTTGCTTTTTGGCCTTCCGACGGCCCGAGACAGCCCAAGTGCCCCCAAAGATCGCCCAAGAGGCCCAAGACGGCCCCAAGAGGCCCCCAAGACGGCCCACGAGGCCTCCA